TGTTGCTGTTGTCGGTGCTGCTGCTGGTGCTGTTGCTGTTACCGATGCTGCTGTTGGTGCTGCTGCTGTTGTTGCTGTCATTTTTGCTGCTACTCCTGCTGCTGCCCTTGCTTCTGCGTGTGCTCGTCGTCTTTGAGCTTCTTGATTCTCCCGCTGCTGCTGTTGCTGCTGTGTTTGCTGCTTCGGCTGTTCTTGTGCTGCTGCTTTTGCTGCTGCATCTGCTGCTGCTCTTGCTGCTGTGTCTGCTGCTGCGCACAGCACCACCGCAGCCCCACCCAGCCGGCCCCGCGCTGAACGGCCCGCAGTTTCGCCGACTCGAAGGGTAAGCAGCAGCAGCAGCAGTAGCAGCAACAGCAGCAGCAGCAACAGCAGCAACAGCAACAGTAGCAGCAGCAGCAGCAACAACAGAAACAGCAGTAGAAGCAGAAACAGAAGTGGAAGTAGTAACAGCCCTCTGGAACTGCAGCAGAAACGAGCAGCAGCAGCACTTGCTGCTGCAGCAGCAGCTGCACAGCCCTCTGCAGCAGCAGCAGCAGCGACACGCAGCAACAGCAAGCAGCAGCAACAGCACAGTGACTGGGCCTCTTGTTGGGTAGATAAATAACCAAATTACTTTAAAAGAATTAATATTTTGTTTTTATTTTTTCTTTTGCTGCTGCTGCTGCTGCGGCTGCTGCAGAACAGATTTCTGCCGCAAGGAGTTTCTTTTTCTTTTGGGGTTTTTCCTTTTAATGTTGGCTTCTCCTTTGCTGGCGATGCTGCTGCTGCTGCTGCTGCTGCTTCCTTCGGCAGCAGAGACACTTTTGCCCACTCTCCCCAGTGGCGCCGTAAGCTGCTGCTGCGCTTGCTGCTGCTGCTGTTGCTTCTGCGGCTGCTCTTGCTGCTGTTGCTGCTGCTGTGTTGGCGGCGGCAGATGCGTGCTGCTGCGACTGCTCCCCTTCTCTGTGCCGCTGCTTGCTGCAGCTGCTGCTGCCGCTGCTGCTGCTGCTGGTGCTGCTACTAATTGCCACCTTTTGGCTCTTTTTGCTTTTTTTGTTGCAGCTGAAGACGTGCAGCGTCTTTTCTCATATTTATTTTTGCTGCTGGGGTTTCTGGTGATGAACTATGTCGTATTTTCCTTCTGACAGCAGCAGTAGCAGCAGCAGCAGCTGCTGCAGTAGAACCAACAGCAACTGCTGCAGCATTAGCAGCAACGACAGCTGCTGCACCATCAGCAGCAGAATCAGGAGCAGCAGCGTTCGCAGCGGAAGAGGCAGCAGCAGCGGTAGCCATGCCCATTACCTGCGGCAGCAGCAGCAGTAGCAGGGCAGCAGGGGCAGCAGCAACAGCAGCAGCAGAAGCTAGTGGAGCAGCAGATGCAGCAGCAGCAACTGCAACAGTGGCAGCAGCAGCAAAAGTGACAGCCGCAACGACAGCAGTGCCCATACAAGCGCGAGCAGCAGCAGCAGGATAACAAGACGAGGAGCAGCAGCAACAACACCAGCAGCAGCAAATGCAGCAGCATCAGCAGCAGCGGAAGCCGCCCGCGCCACGTGTAGCAGCGGGCCGGAGTCCTCCGTGCTGCAGCAGCAGGTTGCTGCAGCAGTCTGCTGCAGTTGCCTGCAGCAGCTGTGTCTTCTTTATTTCTTTTTATCCCCACAGAGACTGGCTCTATTCATTTTCATTCTTGCTGCTGCTGCTGTTACACCATTTCCCTTTCCAAAGGCTAGCTGCTGCACATCTTTTCCTGTTGCTGCAGCAGCTACGGCAGCAGCTACGGCAGCAGCTACAGCAGCAGCTGCGGCAGCAGCAGCAGCTGCGGACAAGGTGCGCAGCAGCAGCAGCAGCAGCGCACTCTGCTCGAGGTGTATGTACAGGTTATAACAAAGAAGACAACTTCAGCAGCAAAGAGACAGCCCCCACACCTCGGGTGCCAGCAGCAGCAGCAGCAGCACCAGCACCAGCACCAGCCTTTGCATGGTATGCTATGCGCAGCAGCAGCAGCAGCAGCACTGCTGCGCGGCCCACTGCAGCTGAAGCAGGGCCTCCTGCAGCAGCAGAACAGGCCTTTGCTGCAGCACAAAAAGGCCTGCAGCAAGAACACTCCAGCTCCTTGCCGTTGCAGCAGCATAGCCTGCTGCAGCAGCAGCACATCCAGCTGCAGTAGCAGCACATCCAGCTGCAGCAGCAGCACAGCCTGCTGCAGCAGCAGCACAGCCTGCTGCAGCAGCAGCACAGCCTGCTGCATTTCGCGAGGCCGAACTAGCGCAAAGACAGCGCAAGACACACCCCGCATCGAGTGCTCATTCGGGGGCTGCTGCAGCAGCAGCAGCACCAGCAAGAGCTACGAGCAGCAGCAACAATGACAGCAGCGGGAGCAGCAACAGCACGGAAGCAGCAGCAGCAAAAAGCTCAGAAGGGCAGGGGCTCGGGTGGCTGCTGAAGGCCGTGCGGGGTGTGGAAGTGTGCATGCGGCGCACAGCCGCAAATAGATATTTATATTAATTAATATTTATTTATATTTAATTTAAAAACAAACAAATATATAAATATATATTTATAAATGCATCAACAAGACCAAGTTCGCATATATTCGCAAAGACGCAGCGGCGATGCCTGCCCGCGGCGCGCAGGCGGGAGGGCGCAAACGCCCGCATTTTTCTCCTGCTGAGCCCTTTATATTTATTAAAATGCATATTTATCTTTTATTTATTCATTTAATGCAAATTTCATTTCATTTATTGTTGTTTTGCGCGCCGTCTTGGGTGGGACGGCGGCGCGGGGTGCCGCGGTGTCTGTACACCCGAGGAACATGCAAACGCTGCAGTGGGAGCTGCTGCTGCAGCTCCATTAGACTTTCTTTCTGCTTTTGTGCAACTGTTTGTTTTTCTTTTGTTGTTTTATGAATAAAAGAAAATAGAACTTTAATTCGGGAAAAAAGGAAATCCAAAGAGCTGCAAAGCGCGGGCTCTCGATTCGCGGCGCAGCGCATGCGCCTCGGCTCCCACAGCTCCTTCTAAAGCAAACTGAATAATATTTAAATTCATTTATTTTTATTTATTTAATTTAAAATAAAAACCTAATTAACTTCTCGCACTTGCAGACGGGAGCAGCAGATCTCCTTCACCACTGCTTGGGGCCCCGCTGCACAGAGGTCGTTGCTGCTGCTGCTGTTGCTGCTGCTGCTAGCGCTGCTGCTGCTGCTGCATGCAACCCCCACACAGCCTACAAGTTGGCAGCAGATTTGAAGGGCAATTTTCAATTTCGAGTTCCGATGGACGGCGAAGCCCAGGGTGCCTCTCTGCTGCAGCCGGGGGCCCCCCCGTCCGCAGCAGCAGCAGCAGCAGCAGCAGAGGGTGCCCCCAGCGCAGCAGCAGCAGCAGCAGGGGTCGACTGCTGCCCCTCTTCGCCTGCTGCTGCTGCTGCTGCTGCTGCTGCCTCCCCCGATCTCTTCCCAGCGGCCAAGGGGGCCCCTGGGTCCCCCAGTTCTTGTGCAGCAGAAGCTTCTTCGGGGGCCCCCGAGTGTGGGGCCCCCCTGGGGGCCCCCCTTTCACCGGGGGCCCCCCCTTTAACAGGGGCCCCCGAACTGGAAGGGGGCCCCCCAGTGGAGGGGAGGGCCCCCGGGGGCCCCCCCACCCCGGGGGCCCCCCAGGGGCCTTCCGAGGGGGCCCCCCAGGGGCCCCCCGAGGAGGCCCCCCAGGGGCCCCCCGGGGGGCCCCCCGAGGCCGTGGAGGAAGAGCTGGCAGTGCTGCCTGGGGCGAGCGAGGAGGAGCGTGCTGCAGCAGCAGCAGAGGAGCGCGCAGCAGCAGCAGCAGCAGCAAGGTGGCCGCAGCCGGGGCCGCTGCAGTTCCGTTTGGAAGCAGCAGATGGAAGAGCAAGAGCTGCTGTGCTGCAGCTGCCGAGCTGCAGTGTACATACACCTCTCTTCATGCCTGTGGGGACCAACGGGGCCCTCAAGGGGCTGCATGCGCCTCTGCTGCAGCTCATTGACAAGGAAATGCGCGCTGCTGCTGCTGCTGCTGCTGCTG